ACATTTCTCTGTTTTCATTTTTGCAAGGGTCTTGAGTTCCTTTGGATGCTTTCCTGAAGTGAAGCCACAAAAAGCTGCCAAGTAATACACTACTTAGGAAAACAATACCTATGAACCATATCAATCCAGAGAATGATCCCTTGGGAAAACCACTACATTGGTGTGGATCTGCCAAGCTTGAAGAAACAAGGACCAAGGAAATCAGCCCTCCCAGGATGTTTCCTATTCCTCGAGTCATGGATAGAATTCCATAAGCGAAAAATAGTAACTCCCGATCCGCTTTCAAGAGTAAAATTGTGCATGATGATAGAGAGATTTATATTTTGGGCTTATTTCTTCACCTGCATCCCAGAAACAATTGTTGAAATCAAAATGTATCCAGAGCTTGTAACTCAGAAATATTCCCAATCTATTGAAAGGAAATAAGCTTGAAAGTTAATTTAATTCTGTGGAGAATATCTATAAAAAACCATTCAACTTCCACAATATGAATTTTAGAATGTCTGGGGAAGGTTGGGTTTCTACTCATATCCTTATCAAGTTTCATTTCAACTTGGATTTAATGCATCAATCATTGTGAAGACTTATTGGGTGCAAAAATTTGTTATATTTGTCTGTCATGTCAACCAGCAGGTTAAGAAATTTTTTCTTGCAGTGATTTATATCATTGTTTAAGAGATCTGTTACCCTATGTACCCATTGAATCCAGGGATTATACTGTTTAAATATCAAATAATGATTCTATAACTCAAGTAAAACTTTTTGTGGTTACTATTCAGCCATGCTGCTAACCCATACCATAACTGGTTCATCTGAGGAAGATTGTTTGAAAGAGGGGTTTATTGTAGTTTCAATTCATAAAATTAAAACATAATGATACATTTCATTAGAAAAGGTCATTAATATTGCAAGAGAATCATATGAGTGTGGTCTGGACATGAGAAACAGGTGATTTATAGGTCTGCAGGGTTTCAGAACTATTGTCAGCTTGTTACTGACTTGTTACTGAAATCAGAACAAACTGACTAAACACCTCAATGAACACAAGAGCCTGTTTTTTTCTTTAAGTTAAATATGTATTTGTGTTATTATTATTATTTTTATGAAATACTTAATTAGTAAAATACTTTAATTAAATCACTTAAGAATATGTGACATGACAAGTAAGAATGTCATTGGAGCGTGCTCTAGAGAATCCGCAGCCACAGCAGAAATCAAACTGGGATCCTCGCGTCATCTCCAGCGAGCATCCTTAAAGCCTCACTAAGTAACAAGACCAACGTCGAACCTCGCCCGTCATGACTTCATCGGTACAGAACAAGCATCGAGGGCCAGAAGCGGCTAGGACTTCCCATACGCTCCCAAGGACCCATCGAACGAGTATAAAAGGAGGCCTCGGATGCAAGTAAGAAGCGGACCAGACTAAAACACCGGACGACAACTTTTCCATCCTTTTTCCTTATAAACTTCCAAACCGAATAAACTAACCCCTACCTGAACTCTTCGCTTTCATCACCAACAGACCCCACCAATTTAAACTCTTGACTACGAGCCCATATCGCCGTCAAACCCGTTTGAATCACCGTCTGGAGTAAGCTCACGAGAGATAAGGACCCGCAACCGTAGAGGAAACAGCTGAAAAGCCTTTTCATCAATTTCAGTAAGTGCTATCTCCTCGAGCGCGTTACCTCCATCCCCTCTCTCTACCCAAGACACAGACTACCACCCCTAAGACCTCTAGGACCTGTCGTCGAGCTTCTCACAGTCCCGCTTGATATTAGCAATAGACTGAGGAGCTCACATCGCCGAGGGCACCGTAAACACCCCCATTGACCTGGGCCCCTCGTATCCTTGTAATCCACCTCCCCCACCTCTTATACCAAACCACTTCCATCGGTCGGAGTAGCTAGAGGACATTCTGTCTTGGCATCTCCGAGCCTGACAACTATTGGCTCAAGAGTTGTTGATTCAAATTATTCAATAATATGGTTGACAATGACTTTGGGAATTGTTAAATCTTGGAGGAAATATCTGTGTATATGAACTTCAATGGTGACACAAAGGATTGCTTTGATTCTATCTGATTTTTGCCCTAATCTTCATTGGCCACATTCTTATTCTATATTCAGTTAATGCTTCATCTGAAACCACAATTGACTTGTATAAATTGCGCAAGTTACAACTGAATCTCCAAACAGATTTTTCTTGCTACATTCAGGCAACACTTGACTAGAATTTTATCCATAAAACTTTTTGCCTAGTGGGTTAGAAAGAGCTGGATTTTTGTTGACTACCCATGTGATTGTACCTCTGAGGACTACTATCCAGGTCTTTCACTGCCTTTGAGTGATCATGGATGACAGGCTACAGAAAAAATGGTATTCAGGCTGTGCCAATAACACTTTGTGGAACAATCACAAGGGGGATTGGTCATCAGGGAAACGATATCATCTTGACAAGCTGAAAGGTTTGACCGGAAAGCCAGATTGAAAATGAACAGTTTTGCAAAAGGTTTGCCTAGAGGGAGAGAAGTCAATGGAACTGGTGGGTCTGTACTGCAGAAAACATTTGAACAATCTAGTCTTTGTGCTAACAAGGCAATCCAGAAAATCGAAACTAAAGCTAAAATGTATATGAGCCGAGTTCCTCCGTGGATTCGAGTAGCGCCCGGAGGCATTAGAGCTTATGAAAAAATTGGTCCCAGTCATTACCATCACACGATCATCCTCTTAATGTGAGGGTGGAGTCATGGGGAATGAGTTTTCAATAGACTCAAAACCCGTCAACTCGTTCTTCAATAACGGCCTTTCAAACAAAAGATACCATTTGAGATGATTTGCCGTGAAGGAATAAATTAAGAAATGAGAGGTCATAGACATACGTCGTCTGATAAACTGAAACATGTCATGAATTCGCTAGGAAAACATGAATCTATTTGAGAGGTAAGATCTAAGGGAGATGATGAACTTGAGAGGTATTGAGGATGAAAAAAATCGGCAGGTAAGAGTGGAAATCTAATGAGGATCATAAATTTGGGAGGCAGGGGTTCTAACGAGGATAAAGAGATTCGGGAGGTTGGAGCTGTGATGAGCATAAGTAGATTCGAGGGGTGCGAGCTCTAATGAGGAGAAATAAAAAACGCAAATAATACAGATGAGGAAAAGAGAATGAAAAGTCTATGTCTGCTTCATCAAGAACCGCTATCATCAAAAACGTTGATCAAGAATGGATCATGCAGGGCAGAAAATTGTTCGAGAGAAGGATGAAATCAAGAGAGGCAGAATCCTGAATGAGCAGATCATGATCATGAATCGGCACATTTAAACCCCAATAATAGGAACTCCTCTTATTCGGATATGTCCTTCAAGTTCGAGGATCCCTGTGGCTGGAGAGTTGCGCGTTTGTCAACTTCCTTGATGTCGTAAAGGCTCTTCGAAAATCGCCTTGTTGCTTGCATGACCGAGAATCTGGCTCTGGGAGGTCTCGATTTTTTGGTCGGACTCGAATCATCGGCCACAGTCTTTTGACTTGGTGCCCGCAAGAGGGAAGAAGCTCGGAATATATTGAGCGACGCTCTTCTCGATTTCGCTTTGGGCGAAGGTACCTTCGACATTCTACATGGCGCTTGACTTCAAGTTTAAATAAAAAGAAAATAATAACGCGTCGTTCATCACTTGATCCTTTGAGCCGTTATATATTAGGCTTTTTAAAGAGTTCAACTCACCTCATTCTTCTTGATGGCGAAGAAGAAGTGACGCCCGTTTTGATTACGAGCAAAGGTTCTTCCATCATAGCCTTGCTGCTCGACTCGACCATAGTCTTATCTGACTCAGATGAATGAGTCCTTCCTAGGATGCGAGGACCAGAAGCACTTGCAGAAGGCGGTGGAGGTTCGGAAGTTGAGACGGGTCTCTCAGATTGTTTTTGGCGTTCAAGCCCGGATTGATAGCAGTAAAAGTCTTGATCCTCTGGTACAAACACCTCTCTGTAAGACTGAGCGTGGTGCTGTTTGGGCTCAGGCGGTGGAGTAGGTGGACTTTCAAGCAGATCTTCCGGCTTTCCACAACAGTGGAAAGACTCGTCAGAATCAGATTCTTCATCTGCGCGTTGATATCTGATAGAAAAACGGTGCATGATGTTGAAGAAGATGTCGAAAAAGATTTGGGGACTTTTGAGGTAGCTTCCCGGAGTTCGAGGTCTTGGGATGATGAGATTGGGAGTATGGTCAAGTGCAAGGAAGATTGTGAGTGTGGTGAAGGGGAAAGAAAAATTGCAAGGGGAAGGTGCGCTATTTATGATATTTCACGAAGCACTGAGACTAGACCGTGGCTATTAACTCAGCCTCTCGCGATGAAGATACTACTCTGGCTGCCTACTCAAGGGTTGCGTCAAGAGAGGTCACGTCGGGGTGTAATTTTGCCAGGTTGACCATCTATTTCCTTGAAAGCTAAGGAGACAGGTAGCTCTCTATGAAGTGCTTACCACAGCTGAATAAGCGTTCACTCGGGCCAGGAAAGCCCTTGATCTTGGGAGACATAGAGGCAACTGATGGCTGTAAATGCCCTCATGGAAGGAAAAATATGTGGGGCACATTCAAGGATCACACTATTAAAACGCTAGGCCCATTTTAAACCATTTTCTACATTCAAATATCCAAGTCGCCATACGAAATGAGTTAGAATGGCGGGTAAAATATGTTACTACATAGAAACAGTGTACCAGTATTGTGCAGGATGCATGGGGGATCTCCACTAGTGAAAAACAAATTAAAGCGTCAGTTTGTATCCGTGGAGAGCTAGAATCGAAAATCCAAAAAAAAAAAAAAAAAAAAAAATATGAAGAAAAAAATGAAGAGGTCAGAGGAGTACTCATGCAGGGTACTCAAGAACTTTTGAGCCAAGTTTGGGGCATTTGTCTTTTAGCGCGCGCCGCAGCATTCACCCTGAAGATCGAGTCGCTGCGTGACTTCAGATCTACATCCTTGTGACACCTCTTCCAGTATGCCGTCCGTCACACTATGTACCCGCCACTTGGGTTGTCTACAGTGTACAGGCTGCCGGCCTGATATTTCGGAGTCGAGACACCGAGTCCCGACACCAGCTGGGATACATCAGAAATTGGGCATCACGAGTCATGAGCGTCTATGGTGCATACATCTGCGGCCGGTCAGCCAGCATTTTCCGTCTGATTTTGACAGGTATGTAGGGACTGACTTGTAGGGGATATCCCGGGCTCTTGATCAGATGAATAGGACTTGCTTAATAAGTTATGTGACCTTTGAAATCCAACGCCCCAGTGGAAAAACTCGCAATCAAGTTGATTCAGAGGCCATGGTAAGAATGGAACCAGAAAATTACGAAGCAATAAATTCAAGAAGGGACCTCATTGAGCTTCCATCAAAGCTTCTATGTAGACCAAGTTGGGCACCGATCAATTGACTAGAAATCGATCTATCTTAGGTAAAAAGCCTCGCCGGAAGCAAAGCGGATTGCCGAAGCCTTGAATAAAAGGTGTTGGCTAACTTTTCCTCAAGTTATGGTTTCTCAACCCCCTAATGTGGGCCATTCACAGCCTTGATTTTCTTGATTTTCTGCTTGAATTTCCACATAACAAAAAAACAACGCTACAAATAACAATCGTTCAAGGAAGCTTTCTAAAGACCCTTCCTCCTACCAAGACCATCTAAACTCCTGAGTACGGTAGTACTATCTCCCCGCGCAAAATGGCTTGAATGTTTGCCTGCATATCGCACATGTCTATCTCCTGACTTGAAAGACCTAGTAGTAGTACGGCCGCTGGGTCAAAAGACAAAACTAGCAAGATCGCCCCTAGATTAAGTGTGAAAGCGGAGATCACTGCGATGCGAGAAGCCACTAATCAGCAAGCTGCTCTGAAACTGTGTGATCTTTCAAGCCAAGCCGCATGCAGCTCCTAGGTGGCAAAGCTTAAGGTAACACCGTACCTCCTCCAAATGTCTATCAAGCTGCCAAATCGACCGGAGCAGGAGAGGAAAATGGTAGTGATCAAATGGCGAATTTGATGGGATATTTGGGAGGATTGAAATCGAGGAAGTAGAGTTTATGATCCAGTCCTTGGAAACTAATTCACACAACGGTAGTAAAAAATTTAGACACTGAGTGCTAACAAGGATTGAATGTTTATGCGATACTGAGACGGCTTCAGCCGGAATCTGGATGGTCTTCAGTTGCAGCTCAAAATTGCTACCCCCGGCTTCTCCGGTCAGTGGTGACTTCTCATCTATAGATTGCGAATTTAACCGTGTCCCCTTTTACGATATTGAGCACATATTATGTGAGTGACGAAGCTCTCGATTTATTTGGGAGACATGAGTGTGCCTGGGCTGATTCCTTTGTACCCCATGACTGGTACCTGCTAAGTTGAATTCCCTTTCAACTGGGTCAACCTGAGTTTCCCCTGGTCTGGAGTTTTGAACAACTTTCACCCGGTTGTAACGGTAAGGATGAAACCTGGCCAAAAGGTGCCGGCCGGTTCAGATACGTATTGTACAGAAGATTGCAGTCTCAATCCAAACGAGGTGTTGCGAAAATCTTCTCTTGAGATTGATAGTTAAATACACGCCTATGTCGGAGTAGATCACGCTGGCGCCAATACATAATCATTTTGTCGCTCACTCACCTCCACAACGCTACCGGTGGGACTTTAACTCGTTCCGTCATCCTTCATCAGTCATTTCCACTCGGGTTCAAAGCCCTTTATTCCTCTTCAAGTCTCATCAAGCGTGATTGAATATTTCATTCTTGTTTTTTGGGGCAAGAAAGCACCAACTGATCATCCTTGGCTGCTTTCTAATCTTAGTCAAAAAGCGCTTAACTCAGGTAACGATGAATTCAAAACCATTCAAGGGCTTCAGTTCTAAGTCATTCGTGAGTTCTCGCTGCTCGTTGCTTCCAACGCACGGATCGAAACTAACTAGTCTTTCGCGCGCATCTGTCCATCAACAATGAAGAACCCTCTCAATTTGAGGTCATTTATCAAAGCTCTACCCTCCAAAAAAGTCAAGTCAAGCAATGGATCTCTTAAGTCTGAATCACTCTCAACCATTGATTTCAGCAGTTGGGTGAGTACATTAATGCCCTAAACTCTATTGTCTTCTGGCTTGTTCAATCCTCCGCTGACATCCCTTCGCGGCCGAATATAGGCGATTGAAAACCAAGTGGAGGACCAAGTTTTACATAAGCTTGATCAACCAATCTCACAAGGCCATGGCCATGACGCACCACCCCAGTCGGTAACTTTGATGACTTTTTCAAAAGTCGTCGGCATTTTTGAAGAACTGGGGCCCATTCAGGAGATTCCCAAACCGCGAAGTCGGACTCGACGCAACTCATTTTTGAAATTGAAGACCAAGTATTCGGTCGAGAAGACCAAAAAAACCTCGCGACCAAATACTGCAGTCGAAGCTATAATCTCCAGTGGCCTTTTTCAACCTGTCCCGGAAACTGTTTCCCCTGAAAAACGGCAAGCACAGTCCCTTGATCATCTGGTCAACTCAAGGAAGGAACTTCTAATCAAGAAAGAAACCGCGCAAGCTTTGAAGACTCCAAGTGCTCGAGAGACTCGTTTGAAATATCTTCTTTACAACCCTCCACTCGATTCTTTTGAACTACGACGAAGATCAAACAGAAAGGATGGCGACGAGAAGATTTTCTTGCCCAGACTCGATCCTAGCAGCTACGCGCTTATCATGAAAAAAGAAGAGCATCGGCGCCGAATGGAAGATTTGGTTTATTACAAAAATTCACACCTTCACAAATACAATCAAATCATCAACAATGGAGTCAGAAGCTTGAAGCTCGAAAGCATTCCCAGAATCGGTCGGGAGTTGGGTAGTCTCAAAAGACCCTCGTGATCCTCGACAACGGAGAAGAAAGCTTGATTATGTTATCAAATCTTGGTAGTTACTAGTGACGGATAGCGCAGACCTCTTTTCAAGTAGAAGTATGTTTTTATTAGCTTGTATCTTTATTTTTATTTTCAGAGGCTCCCAGTAAGTCTCATTCTCTTGCGTTCCTCATTTTAACTCTCCTCCACATATTATTGTTGCCTCTTTGGTCAAGCTCAGGTTTTTGACTTTTTTCCCTTCAATTTAACAAAATTTAAGTCTCAGTATCATTCATTCATTCATGCAGACAAAAATATTTCCAGTCTTTTTTTTTCTTCTTTTGCTAGTTGTTGTATTTCTATTCATTTGTAAGGAGTAACAAGATTTGTCTGGGTACCCTACTTCAATCATCAAATTTTGAAGCCAATAATTTTAGGGAGTTGGTTTTACAACTCCCAATGAGGACTCCCAATGGCTGTTGGGAGTTGTTCCTCCAAATGGATGGCCGTCTTTGGGAGCCTACCACCAAAGTTTTTTTCAATCTTTTAATTTTCTGGGAGTTGGTTCTCCAAACCACCCCTCATGCATGGTGTCAATAGGCAAGAGTGTGACATGTGTATTAACACTTGTGACTGTGACAGTTGATATAAAATATCAACTATGATACAATAATAATTATTCCATATATAAAGATTTAAGCTTACTTGCAATAACAAGATAAGATTAAGAACTTAGAATGAGAGAACACAAACTAGATAGAAAAAATAAATAATTAACATTAAGGAAGATAGAAACTTGATAAACAAATGAGTTGAGGCTTGCATGAAAAAAGAGTACATAGTTATGCTGAGTAGAAACTTACAATAAGCAAACAGGCTATACTGGTCAAGGAGGGCCCTTGTTCCAAATGAGGGATGAACTCATTGTTTACCATCTAGTGAAACCTTGTGAATAGAGCCTAGAATATTCAATAAGAGGCATTGAGATGCAAACCAGACCTCTTCCCCTTTTCCCCATTTTTAAAAAGTTACCAATTCGTAGATAGATGATAACTCCACCAACCTCAAAGAGCATTCACTAAAATACCCCTTTTAGAAATACCTCTTGACTCGGATCTTTTACCCTATATACTACAGAAAAGTTATTGGCACCTCTAGATTTAATCCTTGGTACAAGCTCTGGTAACCTCGACTGTTATCCATTGCTTGTTATCCTGCTCTATTCTTTTCCAACTCAACTACAGGTCTGAGTCTTGGATTGCCCCGGCTTATTGCTTCAGGAAGCTTGATTAAGTCTCAAGAGCTGTTGACCTGAGCCTCAAACAACGGTGAAACAATGTGATGCAATGCAATAAATAGCCATGTATTGGTATCACATCAAAAAAGTGATGCATTGCATGGGCATCACATTGAAAAAGCAATGCATTGCATTGGCATTGTGTCACAAAGCAATGCAAAAAAATGCCACCAAATTAGAGTGCATTGCTTTGCCAATGCAATACTGATGCACTGTATCAAAGAATCTGATGCAAGCAATGTGATGTACGGTCCCACATTGCTCTCTTGATGTGATGCAATACGCCCAACCTATGGGATACCTATGCATGCATCACATCAGTTAGATTGTTTCCTCAAAAAAAAAAATATTCTTCCTTTTCTTTATTTTAGTCTACGGCTATAACACTACAATCTCCTGCCTTTGTAAGTAGTATAAGCCTGACACATGGGGGGAGGGGGGGGGGG